GCGCGGGAGCGCCCGGGACGGAGGCGGCACTGCTGCTGCCCGGGACCTGCGCTCCGCGCTGAGCCCACGCCCGGCCCCGCGCCAGTGAGCGCTTCGCGCGGCGGAAAGCCGCTTCTGCTGCTGCAGCCTCCTGGGAAGCCCGTGCGGTGATGTCAGGGCTGCAACGCCGAGTCGCGGCTGTAAATAGCCAGAGACGGAATTAAAGAGAGCTCGGGGGCTCAGCCTGCAGCGGGGCGCTGAGTTCGATAAAGTTGCGGGACGCTGGGGAAGTGATTGATCTTAAATGAATGGCACGGCCTTCACAGAATTCCTAGCGTCTGCTCTCCAGTCTGGAGACTGCAGGCTGCCTGAGACTTGCAGGGTTGTTTTTCAGGCTGGCTGAGGGCGTAGGATGTTTTGTAACCACAGAGCCTCGCCCCCGCACCCTGGAGATCGGGCCTGACAGCGCAAGGTACCTGGGGGGGCCTGGGGCGTCCTGCTCCCAGCTCCGCGGCTTAACCCCGTAACTACAGCTCTCCTGCAGATTGAGGTCAACTGGGCATGGAGGTGGGGGGTGTCAAATGAGCAACTTTTTTAAAAAAGACCTTAAAACAAAACATCTAACTGGACTTTGACCCGTGATTTGAAGCACAGACGTAACAAGAGGAAAAGGAAGTTGGGGAGGGGGGCAAAAGAAACCATATGCAAAATGTGCAAATTGTGTCAGGTTCTCAGTAGGAGGCAGGGCCCTGCTGAGAGCGCTGCTTGAACTCAAGGGATGCCTGGAGTTGCGGATCTTGCCCCTCACCCACCCACCCACACACATTCTCCACCCATCTCCCCTAAATCACTGTGAGTTACCTTCTGGAAGTAACTGATCTCAGCAACCTTGCTGGATCCCGTCCCAAGGACATTCAGTTGCATAGGCCTCGTCCTGAATATCAGCTGCCAGTGCTTGACACATGATTAGCTCTCAGTCATCCTTACCATGATTTTAATGCTGTAGCTACTATAATGACCAAGATAACTGCTTGTAGAGCCAGTTGGCCTACTTCACACTGTTAAGTACGTGGCCTTGGCTAAGTTACCTAACCCCCTCTGGGCTTCAGTGAATGAGGAGGATGACAAGCATCTACCTCATTGGCTGTTCTAAGCCTTACAGTGTGTGGAACTTACAGTAGTATCTGGCATATGAAAAGTAAGCCCTCAAGAAAGTTTACCAAAAGAAGTAGAAACTAGGCCAAAGGTCACATCTACCTGGGGCCCCAGAGGACCCGTGCAAACCTGTAATGTTGGTGTGCCTCCCCCATGCTGAGGGTCTGCCATGCGCCCTATAAGTGCTTTACTCTTGTCCTGTATAATGGAAGGAAGTTGTCATCCCAGCCCTGTTTTACTGTTAGAAGGACTCCAAGCCTGGTTTTCTGACTCCTGCCTCTGGTCTGCCCTCCACCCAGCTTCCAGACCCTTGAGATGAGAGATCCCTGCCTTAGCCCCAAAGACACTAAATTCAGCTTTCCTGCCACATGCCCTATACGCCTTAACTCTGCAGTGTTTACCAAAGCACACCTTTCAGGTCTGAGCACCAGGCCTTTCTCTCTTATGGGAAAGCAAAATGTCTAAAAGTTCGTTGAGAAGGTCTCTGGGAAATTTCCCCAGACAGGAAAGGCCCAGAGGTAGGCCAGACTCTTGGCATTTTTAATAAAAACTGGGGGATCTTGGGAAGGGAATGATGACAGGGTCAGATTTATAGCCCATACATTATATTCCTTTTGCACATTTGAGTAAATTCCACACTTTCCTCCAAAACATCCAGCACTTTCTGTGTGAATGTTAAGATCTGCTTGACATGCAGCTCTTCCTGGGAATATTTGCTGCTGCTTTTTGTTGTTGAGTCTTTTTTTTTTTCCAACGCTGAGGACTGAACCCAAGTTCTTGAACGTTATTGTTTTTAAGTGACTCCTAGGAGGAGGAATCCAAAGGAATGGCTCTTGTAGAAGAATTTCAACCCCGGTGGTCTAGAGTGGCCGTGGCTCAAAATGTACACTGCTGTCTCACAGCTGTATAACCTTTAGCAGGTTATTTGGTCTCTGGAGCCAGTCTCTGTTTTCCCAGGGTTCCAACTCACTGGCTGTCCCAAGGATTGACAGGCAGGGCCTGGCCTGTCACCTGGTACTGGCATACAAAGCATTCCTCTCCCTTCCCTTCAGGAATTCTCAGTCCTAGCTACCTGGAGGGCCCTGCCTGGTCCTCAGACTTGGCTGCATGTTGGAACCTTCTTGGAGAGTTTTAAGACATTAGTTCTGGACTCCACTGCCAGCGGGTCTGATTTAGTTGGTCTGGACTGTGGCCTGGGCATCAGGACGTTTAAAAGTTTCCCAGGTGACTGTAATGTGTAGCAAAATTAGGAACCCTGATGCAGGGAGTTTTAAAGGAAGGCACCCAGGCTCAAGTCCTACCCTGAAACAATTCAAGTAGAACCTCTGGAGACTGGGCTTCAGATTTTTTTTAAACAACTTTCATATATTTTATTCCATCCTCGTATAAGGACATACAGGGTTGTAAGAGGGGAGATTATGTCACTGTTTCTTTCACAAAAATGAAATTGCACTACCCACATTTTTCTGGATCTTGCTATTGATGTTTGATTTCTGCAGAAATCCCTCCAGATCAACTAATAATATTCTAATTTGTTCGTTTTTCTTTAATGTTTTAATTTTGGCATAATTTCAGACTACAGAAATGTTGCAAGAATAGTGCAAAGATATCCTACTAGCTCATCCTACTACCTGGAGCTCATCACTATGGTGCCTGGATGTTAACCTAGCATGGTAGTTACCTCCTGCCTGGCTAGGTTTTGGAAGCCCTCTGGAGGTATTAATCTGTGGCAGGTAGAGCTACTCAAATTCTCGAAGGTTGCTATGTGACTTAAACCCATCCGTACGTAATTTCTTACCTTTGTGATGGATCTTTACCTCTTTTTAGAGGCAGTTGTGTCAGGTGATTTAGACGTGGCCTCAGAGTCAGACTCCACGAATTTCTATTCTTCGGTGCCTCAGTTTCTTCATCTGTCAATGGAGGGGCACTAAATGGGAGTACTTCAATAGCGCTTGGCACCCAGTGAATATGAGCTAAAAGTTATCCCTCCCTCTACTGATCATTGCTGTGGCTCATCTATGAAATAGAGTTGGTTTAAGCTTGCCCTGGTGACCTATAAAAGGAATTTTTTTATGATCCTAGACCCCTTCAGACAAATTCCCTCAGACAAATTGGGTAGTTGTCAGTATATAAAAGGGTTTGCTTAGAAACAGACCTCTTTTGAGATGTAATTAGCAAGAATCAATTAAAAATACCTGTTACAAAGACTCATCCTGATAGATGTTTTGTATATGTTTTGTAGATGTTGGACTGGGAAATGCCCAAATCTCAGTATTTAGAATCTGTCCTGGGGCCTGGTGTAATGGTGACATCTGTAATCCCAGCACTCAGGAGGCTGAGGCAGGAGGATCACTGCGAGTTGGAGGCCAGCCTGGGCTATAAAGTGAGTACAAGGCTAGCCTGAACTGTATAGTGAAACCCTGTCTCAAAAAGACAAAAAAAAAAAAAAAAAGAAATAGAATCTGTCTTAGGCAGGAAACTAATGAAAGAAGGTGATAAAGTGGTTAGTACCAGGCTGAAGTAACATGGAGCAGCAGGCTCACAACCCCATTTGTGTGACCACTGGGCAGCATACCTGTGTACTGTAGGCATTGGTAGGGGGTGTATATGTGTACACATGTGTATAGCAGTACAATTCATAATAGCTAAATCTTGGAAGCAGCTTAGATGCCCATCAGCAGATATATGGATAAAGAAAATGTAGTACTACTCTGCCATAAAGAAAGATAAACTGAGCTATTTGTAGCAAAATGGATGAACCTTGAGATCATAATTGTAAATGAAGTAAATCAGACACATAAGCTTAAACTTCACATTTCATGTTATATATTAACATGACCAAGTTAATATGTAAATAAAGTATGAAATAAAAGATAATAGGAAATAGAAAGAAAAAAGTTATTGTACTCTAAGTAGATGTTTGCTGTTGGTTTCTAGTTTCACTCTAGTATAGTGTGAGAGTTCACTTTGCAGGACTTGCATTTCTTTGAATATGTTCAGGTCTTTGTGGTTGCTGTTAGCATGGTCTATTTTCAATTTTTTAAAAAATTCCCAGAATAGGAAAATCTATGACGCTGGAGAGTAACTCAGTGGTTGCCTAGTTTGGAGGGGAGGGTATTATTGGGAGATAACGGTGGGTAGAGTGTTTTGTTTTGGGATAACAAAAATAATGTAAATTTCATTGTGGTTGTGGTTATACAACTGTCAATGTGCTAAAATTTACTGAATAATACCTTTAAGTTTGTGAATTGTATAGTATGCAAATTTTAGAACAATAAAGATGTTATTTTTAAAATAAGTAGGAATGGAGGACTCACTGTAGCAACTAACCAGGACAGCAGGCTCTCCCTCAGAGTGCAAAGGCCAGGTGGGAATGTAGGCCCTTGATTGCTGTGTTCCTATTTTTCTGGAAAGGCTAAAACCTTGCAACTTGATGTGACCTTTCCCAATTTTTAAAATATTTTTAAATTTCCTGATAAAAAAAGAAAACTATACCCCTGCAAGCCAGTTTGCAGCTACTTGTCATGGGAATCGAGTATGGGGGTTGGTTCATGGGGAAGATATGAAGCTGTAAGAATTTGTGTGTTGAGGTGACTGTTTAAGGAAAGGGGGTTTCCTATGATGGCCCTAGCTCACCAGGATGTGTGCCTGCTCTGGAGTGGCAGAAAAATGGATTGGTTCAGTTCTTCAGACATTTGGTGTTTTGTTTTTGTTTTTGTTTTGTTTTGTTTTGTTTTGGTACCAGGAATCAAACTCAGGACCTTGCACTTGCCAGGCAGGCATTTATGCCACTGGGCTATATCCCCAGCCCTCTTCAGACATTTGTTGAGCATCTACTCTGAGCCAAGCCACACTTCTTCTCCCAGGAGCAGTTTCCTTGCTTGTGTTCATGTACTCTCACATTGCCTGCCGACTACTAATCCTGCTTTTGCAGTACCATGATATCGAGACTAGTGCTCTCAGGAGAGCAGAGATCCCTGTCACAAATTACAGCAGGGGACCATCCAGTACCTGAGTATTCCCCTTGACAGTATTTCCAGAGCTTAGCTGTTTCTGTTCCCTGTAAGTACAAGAAGAAAAGGGAATATTTTGTAAGATGTAGCTTCTGGTTAGAATAGTAATCAAAGGGCATGACACGCATATTTTTTAGAAAATCTTACATTTGCATGCTATGTGAAACAATTGAGAAACAGAGTTGTTTCAAACCTATTAGAGGCCTCTGAGTTTATCTAACAGTGGGAAATACTACGCATTATGCAAAACCCAACATTTTGTGATGCACTGCAGTGAAAGGGGAATTCTTAGTTGCCACAGGTTCTATAATCTGAAACCCCTCTTGCCTCCTACATAGATGGCAGAGCTGGAGGACTCCTCAGCAGCCAGGGAAGATCATTAGAGAACACATGAAAGCGGACTGTTCTGTTGCTTGCAGTAATCCAAGGATCTATGCTCACTCTCAAAGGGAGCAGAAAAAGAGGTCTTGACCCATATGAGGCCGAGATTGGCAAGTGGGAGACACCTACAGAGCAAGGACATTGGAATGGAAAATCTACCATTAGGACAGGTGACTGGTGAAGGCATCCAGTGAAGACAAAAGGCGTCCGGTGAGAGTCTATAGTCAGAGGCCTCACCATGGCTGTGCTATCGGGTTTAAAATTGCCTTCTCTTCAATAGACCCATACTATCCAAGATGAGGACTAATGTGAAAAAATTGTTACTTGTCTAAAATAAGCCTGGATAGCCCACAAGAAGAAAACGAGAAACGGCTCTGAAGGGATTCACTCTCACTCAAGTCCTTCTAGACTTCCTACAGACATAGCTCTCTGAAAATGAGTTCACAATTCAAATTATAAATTATACAAGGAAACAGTCATCCATTATGCTTAACAGTCAGAAGATACAAAGGGAGAGCAGAAGTTAACCCACAGGACTTGGAGATAATCAAACGGTCTAAGAGAGATAAGTAGTTTAAAATGATTCAAATATCAAAAAAAGAATCAGAAACTCAAGATACTACAAAGAAGGCGGGCATTGTGAAAAAGGAATCAAATAGTCCAGAAATTAAGAATACAGTCACTGAAATTACCATGTATACTGAAACTCTGCATGGGTAGGCTAGAGAACTGAATAGATAAGAAGGTGAAAAGAAAATTTTTCATCAGAAATACCAGAAGAAAATATACAGAAATAAAGAAATAGAAAAGAGATTAGGAGACAAGGAACACACTATGAATAGAGCATAATGCTAATTACAAAGAGAATGGCAGGGGGAGAAGCAAATATTCCAAAAGTATTAGCTGAGAATGTTCTAGAGTGGATAAAACACATAAATCCTCCGTTTTAGGGAACATGGCAAATTCTGATCAAGATAAAAACAAACGAATATATTTTCTCATGCTGAAAATTGTAAATTGTACTCTACACCTCATTTCCTTCAAAGCAGGAAAGAAATTCTTGCTGTAATTTTTACAAAGTGAAAATTGTGTATCCTGTAACATCCTTGTTGCTAGGGCTTGATAGACTCGGTTTGGGTTTGAGGTGAGGGGAAAAACAGCGTCCCATGAGCCCCAGCAAAATCCTTTGTTAGTAGGGTTTGATGTAACTGACATCTGTAGCAACAGAAGGAGAGCCAGTTCCGAGGATCTGGGGGGCAGATCCAGCAGTGTCACAGCACTGACCACACCTTTCCTTTCAAAGTTATCTTTCAGGCTGTTGGTTTGACATTTTGTGTCAGCAGGGTACTGGCAGGAAACAGATGGCCACTCAAACTGGACAGTGGAGGAAGTTTAAGAAAGCGACTATCTGCAAGGACATGGGCAGGGCTTAGTGAAGCCAGGGAACCACGGGCTCACTGTGAGAAGCCATTGCCAGACCTAAGAGATGAGGAGGGGAGCTTGTAACCAAGAGGCAGCCATAGGGACTGGATCATACGACAGGAGCTGTGCCCCTCCGTGGGCCTTGCAGACAACCTGGTGAACAGGGACAAAACCCCAACAGAAGTTTGCCCAGGACTGCCAGGTTGATCCCTGTCTTTCTCAGACATGTCCCAGTTTGGACAATAAATGGTTTGATCACCTGGGCAAAGGTGCCTGTTGACATAGCCTATATGGAACAGCTTTGTGAGAGACAAAGCAAAGCAAAAAAAGATGGACGGTGAGCTGGGGGCTGGGGGAACAAAGGAAGATAGTCCAAGTATTTCCCACTCAGTGGCAAATAGTTTTTCTTTTCTTTTTTAAGCTTTATTGAGATACAATTCACATCTCATAAAATGCATCTTTGTAAAAGCCACATTTTATTGAATTTTTAGTACGTTCACAGGGTTCTACAGTCATCACCAAAATGCATTTTAAAACCCACACCCATTAGCAATCACTCCCCATTTCTTCCAACCTCCCTGTCCTAGACCTACGCAGTCACCAGCATTCCTTTTGTCCTTATAGAATAGCCTGTTCTGGATATTTCATATCAATATCTCATACAGTGTGTTGCCTTCTGTGTCTGGCTTCTTTCACTTAGCATAATGTTGTCAAAGCCCATCTATGTTATAGCCTGGATCAATATTTTACTACTTTTTATAGACAGATATATCACATTTTACTTATTCATTTATCAGTTGATAGAGTGATATTTGCATTGTTTCTACTTTTTTGATTTCCATTCTTTGAATAAAGGTGCTATGAAATTCATGTAGGAGTTTTTATACAAATGTGGATGTATGTTTTTAATTCTCTTGGAAGTATATGTGTGTGTGTGTGTGTGTGTATGTGTGTGTGCACATATATGAATTGCTAGGTCGTATGGAAAATTTATATGTAAACTTTTGAGGAAATGCCAGGGTGTTTTTCAGTAAAAGGTTTTTTATCCCATGTAATTCGTGAGTTTTTTTTTTTTATTAGTACATACTTGTAGTACATAACTGTTATATGTCTTGTAGGGAATTGGTACATGTGCATAATACATCTTAATTCCTTTCTTCCATGTCCCTTCCCTCACCCCGCATCCATCTCTTGAGCCCTATTCCTTTTTTGCAGTGCATAATGGTTATCTACATTCTTTGTGTGGAGCTGGTACATGTACATAGCACATCCCAATTCCTGTTGTCATCCCCTTTCCCTCCTCTCCCTCCCTCTTCCTCCATCTCTTGATCCTCTTCCCCTTGGAGAAAGATCTACCAACTCCTTTCTATTATCTATCTTTTTATTTTGCTCTTTATTTCTACTTTGGGTTTCTTATATAAGAGAAACCATGCTATATTTAAGTTTGTGTGTCTGTATTATTTCACTTAACATTATGGTCTCCAGATACATCCATTTTTCTACAAATGACTCATGTTTATCTTTCTTTATGGCAGATTAGTACTCCTTTGTGTGTAAATACCACATTTTGTTTATCCATTCACTTGATGATGGACACACAAACTGCTTCCAACATTTAGTGATTAGAAATTGTGGAGCTGTAAACATGGGTGCACATGTATCCCTATAATAGAATGGTTTTTACTCTTTAGGAAAATACATAGAAGGGAATGGCTGGGTCAAATGGAACCTCTAGTTTCAATTTTTTGAGGAATTTCCATACCTGTTTCCAAAGCGGTTGTAGTAGTTTACATTTCCACCAACAGTAAAAGTTTCCTTTTCTCCCACAACCTCACCAGAATTTGTTAATATTTGATTTCTTGGGGTAAAATAGAACCTCAGTGTTTTTTAAACTTGTATTTCTCAAGTGGCCAGCAGTGTTGAATATTTCTTCATATATCATTGGCCATTTGTACTTCTATGACGTGTCTGTTCATTTCACTTGCCAGTTTTTTAATTAGGTCTTGTATTTGCAGGGAGATCTAATTTTTTTAGTTCTTTATATAGTCTAGATAGTAGTACTTTGTCTGAGGAATAGCTGACAAAATTTTTTACCATTCTGTAAGTTGTCTTCTCACTCTGTTGATTTTTTCTGTTGCTGTGCAGAAGCTTTTCAACTTAATTTGATCCCATTTGTTAATAATTTGTGAGTTTATTTTTTACAAATATTTTTATATGCAGTAACTGTAATGGAGTCATTATCAATCTGTTCATAACAGTCAACACTGTCCATCCACTTCACAAGATCTGCCTGCTGTGTTGTCCCCAGTTGTCATCCGTGGTCAATTTTTTCATTGCTTAGCTTTGCACCTATAGCAAGTCATTTATGTTCTTCCAGTGGCAGGGTTTTAAAGATGTTATAATTCATTTTGGAACATGTCATTGTTTAGACACTTCTAGCATTAAGGCTCCCAGGTAAGCAGAATTTTACTGTAGTCAACTAATATTCTGAGTATAGATCAGTCAGGGAGAAGTTTTGCTGGCAGAAGTCACTGGATGTCAACTTAACTCTAGGTTCTCTGGCAAGGCCAAAATTCTGGACCTTGTATGTAAGTTTTTTGCTACATCTTATTTGTTTGGACATCAAAGTATTAAATGACCTTGAAATTTGTCAGCACGGGGGCAGGATGTTGAGGCCTGGCAGTTTAGCTCTATATAATCTTTGCTCTGCCCAGTGAACACATTTAAGTACCACAGTTGCTCAGGGGGCTCTACCAGAATGACTACAATTTCAAGAGATTTTACCTGGGCAGAGAGGAGGCTTCCTTCTCTAAGTGTGAGCTTCCTTTCATATCAGTAATAGAAACAGGACATGGGGACCTGTCTTTAGCTGGAGCAGTGTGTTAAGGTGGAATGACTGGGCCTCAGAGGCCCGGAAACCCAAGTTCAAATTCTGGTGTTGCCATGTTTCAGCTGCATCTGTGAGAAAATTACTGGACCTGCCCTTATGATCATTGGTAAGATGAGATATACAATGCTCACATCTTCACCTTGAGGGTTAGAGATCATGTGGTTACTGAGTGTAGTCTGTAACAGGCACTCGGGATCAGGAAGGGGGACTTTTGTTTGGGATAATAAAGATGAATTTAGGCCTCTGAGACTTGAAGCATTTAATCAATCATTTTGAAGCAGTTCTGCCTTGTTTACCTTTAATATTAGCTTTGTTTACTTTTAATATGAAGAACCAAGCCAAGCACTCCCACTTTCTGAAGCTTATGAGCAAATGGACACTCCTGAGCTACAGCTTGGGAGCAGTCTTTGCAGCCACAAGCAGCCGATGGCTACAGGCAACAAGTGAAAAGAGGTTGTGTACGGGAAACCATTGCATTTGCTAGGGTAGTGCTATCTACCTGTGATCTTATCCAGGAGCTTCAAAGGCACTGGCAGCCATTACCCAACTATTGAGCATGCTGGCCCCCGGCGCCCTGTCCCCAAGGCAGGACTGGTGCTGAGTAGCAATCTCCCCAGCTGAAGCACATCAGAAGGTAGAGAAGAAACGAGTTGCACACCGAATGGCAGGTGAGTCAGAGCTGCTCTGGGCCTCACTTTCCTCATTTATTAAATGACAAGGTTGGCCCCTCCCAGGTGATGTTAATAGTGTCTTCCACAGGACTCTGGCTGACCTCCGGGCCTGGTTTTTAGGTTCTCTACATTGTCTGCTTTACACATTTCAATGTACCTATGTTTGTCACTGGGTATGTGTGTTTGATGTGATTCAGAGTTACCTGGAAATTGAGGTTGGGGAAGGGATGAGTGCTGTTTGCTCCAGTGAATCAACCACAGTGAAAGAAGGAAGTCTGTGGTGAGGCGATACAGAAGGCCTCTTCTAGCCCTGATCTTGGTTGCAAACACAGAAATACAAATAGCCAAGTTCCC